CAGGAAAGCAAAGGCTCTCCGATCACGCCATCGCCATCACGACCTCAACGATCTGTCAGCGCCGTTGGACACGAATGCTTGCAAATTCCACATCCATGCGAACTCGCATGGCCCAGCAGCGTTCGTCGTTTGTGGCCTGAGGACACCAAAGTGCGTTGTCACTTGGTCAAATGCATTTCTGTGGCCCAACAACACCAATGGACGTCCTCTTCAACTATTTTGGATGCCTTGCGTCGCGCTCGGTGCTGCTGGGCCACAATAGCAAGACTTGCTCTGCTCGACGTGGGTTTTGCCAGGCACATCGTCTGCTCGGACAATGCATGGGCGCGTCGTGCTGGATCCACCGGTGATGTGGGCCACAGGTTCAACGCGTCTGGCACGCGGACCACATAAAAAGATACTCAACTAGTATTCGCGTCCGGACGCTGATGGAGGAGCGCAGGCATCGCGCGAGAGAGCGACACATTCGCGTGAAGGGTGTCCCATTAAAAGACTACTAAACAGAAAATGCCGTCCGGCGTGCATCCAGGAAACGGGGGATGCATTCAGGAAACGGGGGATGGCAGCGCGCTGAGCATACCGGTCTGCGCGCCAGTCGCCAGAACACTGGTCATCTGCTACACTCGAGACTGTAGGCGCACATCCAAGCATGTTTGGCGTGCGATTAGGAGGGCGCTCTCGCCTATAAGTAGGGCTGTTTTTTCGCCCCCCCTCCTTCCAACTTTTTCCCTCATCCTCATCATCCCTCACAACTCGTAAGTATCCCCCGACCGGACTTCGAGACCTCACTTCCATTCGACTCTTCACTGACCATCCACTCTCGCCCTTGCCTCCCTTCATCTTCACAGCTTTCGCGCAGGTCTTGGATTCGACTCTCGCAACGCTTCGGTGAGTAACACGGGTCCAGTGAGAGTTTCGAAAGAGATACGCAGCAGCGACCATTGAGATCAAGGTGTATCTGTTTGGGATACATCGAGATCGCTCTGGAAATGTCACCTCGGTAGTCAACAACGGGTTGAACGTTTCACGGAATCCCTGGGAGGTTGCTCTTAGCAATGCGGTACTCGCCTTCCGCGCGGTGGGGAGGTGGGGTACCTCAGCGATGGACGCTGTATTGCCTGGTTATCTGGGCGCTGCTTGGTGTCCCCGGTGTGGCAGATGCACGGGTATGAACATCAATGGAGCGAGCCTCCGTTGACAGGTAGGCTGCCCGTGTAGATTGCCACGTCGCGGCTTTCATCCTAAGATGAAGGCGATTGCTCTCAATTTGGTTGGTCGGCATAAGCTGACCAAGTCCCATCTCACAGTCGATTTCGCAAGAGCCCACCGGTTACCACCTTCTCACCTCGTCGTCATCATCCCTCCCAACTCGTAAGTATTCCTCGCCTCGCCTTCGACACTGGAGTGCCATGTCTTACACTGACCATCCATCCGCCCATTCCTTCCCTTCGTCTTCTTCCACACAGGTTTCACTCACGACAACTCAAGTATTGGTGAGTAATCACGGGGTCTTTAGAGCGGGTTGCGAGTCGTGGAAGTCGCAAGACTGGCCCTTTGGGCCAGGGCTATACGCCTCGAGAAAGACGTGCCACAAGGCATAGAGTCGCTCGGGTAGTGGAAGATGTCTAGGCGTTGCAGAATTGGGCAGCCTTGATGTCGCGCGCGACAGTGCGAAGACCAGGGCAAGTTCCACTCATACGCATGTGTGAATCGAGTTCTTCCGAAACAAAGATTCTGCTTTTGCATCGACTGGTCGCTTTTCGGAAGGATACACGTCGCAGTACAGTCGCCGTCCCGCTCAAATAGAGGGTGGAAGCGCCTTCGCCGACTTGGAACTCGCTTGCATGCCACTTTCTTGCATTCAGTAGCTCGGTCAGCATAAGCTGACCTGCCCGTTTCCCTGCACGCTTTCCATGCAGAAATCGTCCAGGCGATAGTCAATACAACCAGATCGACAGCCCTGAAGACCTGCAAAATGTCGGTGAGTCACACACTCGAGGAGATTTCTATGGGAGTTGGTGACGGCGGTAGGATCGGCGTGGAACAGAGTTCGCAGTCGCCGTGTCGAATTTTATAAATGCTCTGCGTGCGCGTGGAGTGGTGTTCACCGGTAGTGGTGCGGACTCCACGCCGAGATCATCGTTGGCACCAATCGCCCTCGATGCAACGACTCTAGGGCGCGCTGGGGACTTTTGGCCGGGGTACCCCCTCTTACTGGAGCCACGGCTTCGTGAGGCAAGGTAGAAGACCGGCCCAAGTCTCTTTCGCGTTCACTGAGTCGGAAGCTGGCGCACTTCGCTGCACCAGGTGCAATATGGTCAACACGTCGTTGACCACCTCTCCGTCTCTCTTTACTCTTTCACCTTCCTCAACGACCTCGGCCCTAACCAACAGCAAGACAACCAGGTGAGTCATCACTACGACGCCCACGATAGACGTCGACAATGCCCCTTTGGCTCTACATGCTACTGACCGCTAAGTGTCTGTTCCATTTCCAGAGCGCTACCACCAGTGTTGCCCAAGATCCCGTCCACAATGTCAGTGCAGTACGGCCCATGACAGGAGCGCGACAAGTGAAGTTGAAGACTGACTCCTCTGCGCTGTCTCTCTCTTTCTGCCGCCTCGCCCTCATTCTCAACGCTATCTTCCATCTTCGACCTGTGCATTGCTCTCCTGCTTCGTGGCCATCTCACATGCCATTCGACCATCATGGTACGCTTCGCACGCCGCATCTTCTCATCTCGGTGCCCATTACGGTGGTCTGCTGCTTGCTGTCCCCGCCGTCTGTCGTGCTAGGCAAAGATCGCCAACGCGCCAACGCCAATTACTGAGGTAAGCCGAGCAGCGCGCGATTGACCTCTGCGCCGCATAGCAATGCGGATACAGAAGATTCAACACCTAGCGTCGCCCTATACTGCGCTACAGGATCAACGAACTTTGATGCGTGATGTCGCTGCCCACGTCAAGATCGATCCGAGATATCACGCCTTCATTCGCTCGATGCTCCCGGTGAGAAGTGCCCGGCTTCAACATATTTCGACGCCAGCAACGTTGGCTGACTCCACTTTCGTCGTCTTGGCAGAGCGAGTCTTATTTCTGGACTTACGTCAACGTGCGTAATTAGCGGCCTCGTGGCGATGCATTTCGAACAGAAACCAACGAATGGGAATTGACCGCGTTCATCGACGCCTCCCAGTCATATCATGAGGCTCAGCCTCGCGGAGGTTTGCGCACCATCCTTGCGCTGCCGTGGCGTGCTGTTGGGCTCGTCAGCGGTCCGAAGAGCATCCAAAGTGCTGTCGACCGCATGGAGCACCAATACATGGTAAGGGTGCGGCTCTCGAATGGGATCGCAGTGCTGATTGTGCTGACAAGGTCTCTATCTTCACGCTCCTGGTCGCCGAATCTTGCAGAGGATCGGGCAAGCCTTGGTACAGATGAGCGAGCGCCAGTTCGCCTTCGAAAGCCCGGCTATAGGCGCCCTCTTCCAGGCCAACGAACGTCGCAAGGCGGACATCGGCGAGCAGTACGCCACACGCTGCAAAGCTTTCGCAGAGAGGCTCGAGCTGTGCGCTCAAGAGGCTCACGACCTTCGCGAGTTCGAAGCTGCCAAGGAGCGTCTGTTGCGTTTGGTTCGCAGCGAAGCAGACGAGTCGCTGATCTGCGCTGCGGCTCAGGCAAAGAGCGCTATCCGCGGGCGACTGGAGGCCAACCAGCGCAACCTTTACTTTACCAAGGCCATTGCCCCTGCGAGCGCAGCGCTCATGCCCCTGCCATCTGCAGCGCTCACGGAGCTGGATGACGAGCAGGAGGTTGCTTCTGCCGACGATAGCGGTGTTGAGGGTCTGGTCAGCGAGGATGACTGCGGTGTAGAGGGTCTGGTCAGCGAGGATGACTGCGGTGAGTCTCAAGCTACGCCTTGGTCACAAGCCTTCGTCTTACCTATACTCCTTCACTACCTTAGGCATTGAGCGCAGTGTCAAGCGTCGTACTGACGACTAGACCCCACCGCCGCTGCTTCCAATTGTTCAGACCGGTCTGCTGAACGTTCCGCTGGATGCGATCAAGTCCGAGGAGCATGATCGTCCGCCTGCCCCAACGACCAGCCTACGTTGTGGGCTGCTTCGACAACAAGCTTACGTGAACCTGCTGCCATGCACTGTCTCGCTATTCTCCCACCCTCTCCCCTCTCATACAGCCCAAGTCTGCTTTGGGTTCAGCTTTAGCCCGCCATTCTTCGCCATCCATTTAACACCTCTGCATCGCATATCCTTTTCCTACTACATCGACTGCTGGCATCACTCGACTCGGCTATCATCTTTATCCCTGCTGCCCCGATCCGCAAGCTCTAGAGTCTCTCAACGAACATCCTTTACTGTAGCCTTAATAATCCACTGGCGAAGCTAGCCACGACATCGCCGTACCTGTGCAAAGATGAGCAATACAACGCAGTCAGCGCCGTCTTAAGGTCTGATTGAAGTACGCGGCGCGTAATAGCCCCGCTTGGAAGTTGTGAGCCTTCGGATGTCGGTTGAAGACGAAGGACGGACGAGGCAACGAGAGATCGATCCAGAGGTTGCGTGTAAAGGTCAGATCTAGGTCGATAGAGGAGAGTCAGGATCAAGAATGGCGTGCGGTGGAGACTCAGGACCGAAAGGCCGGTCAAGAGTCATACCCCTCTGCTGTTTGGCTCTGACTCACACTCTGACTCTTGACCCAGTTCCAGCTCAGCCTGAAGACCACGCGCAGCGTGAGTGCTGAGTCTTGATAAGCTGGATAGCCACGAGTGAAGATAGTAGTGATGCTCGGGGTTCTGCGATGAGCGCCCGAGTGCCCGGGCTCCCGTGCGTATGATGCACGCTCCACATCGCCCACGCTTGCGTGGCTTTGGGAGTTCACACTCAAGACTTCACACAAAATGTCTGACCTGGACTCCCAAATGCGCGGAGTGTAGACTGGTGCTCACGAGCATCCTCACCATCCACTCACGACCCATTTTAGAGGCGCACAAACCCCACCAGCCAGGCCTCAGCGTCTCTTGACGCCAACCAGCACTCGCGACCACACCCAGTCAAGCTCGTCACAAGCAGAGCTGCCGAATCATCGACGCCTCAATCTCCGGCCACCTGCACACTCTCGGAAGACACGGATTGAAGTGAGGCTTTCTTCTTGGAAAGAAAGATGTCATTATTGCGGGAACTTTTCGCTGCCCTCGCTACTGGGACGCTGCTTTGGTTATTGTGGTTCTTTCTCTACGCTGTGATGAGTGGTCCGGGTAATGGGAGATTCCGAGACGCCATTACGGTATTGCCCAAAAGACACAACACACGACGCTGTCGTGGGTTGAGGCCGCCTCGCGCCCACCGAGATTGGGATAGCTAACCGAGGCTGAGCGACTCTTTGACAGGTTTGGGGTTGGCACCTCCGCGACCTGTCTGAGGAGGACGATTTCTCAAACGCTTCGCCTGGCACTGCGCCCACAGTCTTGCCTGACACTTCGCCCACAATCTTGCCTGGCACTTCGAACAACGCATTGCCAGACGCTTCGCCAACAGCTTTGCCTGGCACTTCGTCCAGCGCCCTGCCCGACGGCCCCCTTCCAGTCGCTGCTCTAGGTGCCGCAATGAACGAAAGCAATTCTGAAAACTCGCGAATGCGTGCACTTCGATGTTCAGCGGTGAGTCTCCATGAGACTGACAGCGGACAAAGCCCTCCGACTGACGCATCAGTCTCCTCGTGAAGACGCTGCGGCGTTTGATGGACCACGGCGGTCCCAACGTTTTTGAAAGGGTGGCGTTTCGTACAGCTCTCAAGGTGCGTTGACTCCAAAGATTGTGCTTGTGACTTTCTGTTGCTTAACAAGCATGCCAACCGCAATTCAGGAAAGTCACGCTAGTTGGTACGATCGCGCAAAGCTACCTCAGAATGTCAGGAGTTCTCTCGATACAGCAAGCCTAGCGGTGCAAGCACATGCGGATGGCAGCAGATGATATATGTCTACTATGCGGGAGGTGTTCCCAGACGGAAGAATGATGCCGATCTTGAAATCGCCAAAAGGATCATATACGACGACAGTGAAACCAGTGCCGGTGAGCTAGGTCCTGTGCCAACACCGGTTTTGTCGATGGGTGGCAGAGGCTTAACGGGAAACTCAGAAGGAAGGAACCTTGTGAATGTAGTCCATGGGCCTGGTGCTTGTTTGCGTGGACCGATTACTCTTTCGAAGCGCTCATGAACCGACGTTTTGACTTCTTTACTCCACAGTTCTGGCTAGATATTGCGCTAAATAGCAACGGTACGGTACGTGAATCCAGCCTGCCGGAGCCGAAGCTCTTGATGGAGCACGACGTTAACATTCATGTTTGTGGTGATGCTTACATGCTGGTCCATCCGCACGGCGAATCAACTCCCACCATCTCTCATGTTGCCCTCGATCGCATTACTGGCCGGTTGGGTACATGGTTCGCAGGCGACATCTACCGCATCCGTCCCCCTTGTGAGTTGCAGGAGAACATAGAGTCAACGATTGGCAAGTCATGTGCTCGGAGACGGACCACTGATATGTTTATCTCTCCATGGTCAGCACGATCTCGCCCTTCTCGACACCATGATCAACCTGATCAAAGACAGCAAACGCTTCAGGAACCATTTGCTGACAAAGCATACAGTGAGCATTGGCATTTGCATCTCGGCACGCCTGAAGCCACTTGCTCAAGTAGGTGTCTCAACAAACAATGTTTTCGCCTGGTACGAGTTTCAAAAAGGAATGCCTTGTAAGTCATCGCCCCTCAGTATCAAAGCGTTGGTCCTCGCGCCTACTCATGCTGTCCGCTCTATCTGGGCTGCACCTCCCACAGCCCACATGAAGCCCACCGGCTCTGCTGTCGACGCGATACAGCTTGGGATCAGTCGGGACACCAACTTCATTGGAATCTGGTCCAAAACGCTTGAAGCAAATCCTCGAGGTCAGACCCTTAGCGTGCAGCAGGAGTTCGAAGCTTTGATGGCAATTAGGGGTACCACCGTTGCTTGCGCGCCTCGAGACGAGCGCTCAGCTGCGTCTGGACTCGTTTGGCTGGCAGGCAGCTCAAATTTACTTCGAGCAAACGCTCAATGCGCCTGCTGGGTATGCTGAGGTTCTTGCCGCATTCCGCATCAAGCTAATCCTCCAGGAGCGCGGTGACAGGAACGCTGGAAAGGCTTTCACGCCTATAGATTTGTCTCCATACGTGGTCGACGAACAGAACGCTCCGTGACGCGCATACAAGGCCCCTACGTATCCACATGTAAAGCATCGCTCCGTACACACTTGACCCAGCAAATCGATCAGCATCACCGACGCTGACACAGGATGAACTCCCAGCTTGAGACTGAGCTAGGAAGGGCGAGGCAAATCGGCGCTGGCAAGAAGCATTTTTTGTTGCGACTTCAGGTGTCGAGCGCTTCAGAATGGAGCAAAATCACGCAAAATCGCAGCACCTCGGTATGACGTCAGACAATCGTATCACAACGCGGTGTTTGGCGGCTATTTGCGCTTTTGCTGGACCTCATCGGTGATGTGCGCCGGCTTGATACACGGAAACCGATTTTGTAAGCTGAAGGCCCGATTCGAGATTGATTAGTTGGTCTACGTATCTGCGTGGTGCAGATTGGAGAGATATGCCTGGCGGGGACGGCTTGTGAAAGGTTCAAAGCGGTGCATGAGCCGCTCCTTGAGGTTGAAATGTCATTCACGACTTGATCGGTTGAAAGTGAGGAAAGTCACGATTCAATGAAGTTGGACAAATCGTACGAATTCGATTTCAGAATTCACGATTCACGATTCACGATTCACGATTGTTCACGATTTGTGTTCGCACCAATCGTAGTCATGAAATGACGAAGGCGAAGCCCTACCTCCGCCGGGGCGCTTGCGCACGCGCTGAGCTTTGCGTTCGCGTACGTCACAAAAGCTGCACGCGAGGCGCTGCTGAGCACTGCAAGACGGATCTCAGGCTGAGGGGTCAGAAGAGTGGTGAGTGTGACTCACGCTTTCTACTCTTCTCCGCATGCCGACGACCTCCGTCACCTCTTCAGACACCCGCGCGGACTGGCTCAGTGCACCACTTTTCCAACTTGTCAAGATTCGTCTGTCGTACACTTGCGACACTACTCGACTTGAGGAACATTGCCCCGTCTTGTAGCTACACCGCAAATGTGACCATATCGAAAGGCTACATCCAAGATGAGCGCACAAAACGCCGCTCCCGATCCCGAGCTTCAAGGCTCTCTGAGCCAAGATGTGAGTAACCGAGCCACATCACAAGTTCCTGCTCGACGGTCGGAAGCTTCCTGCTTCCTCCCAACACGTAAGCTCATGCTAACGCTCTCTTCGTCTGTTGCTCTGATCGCTTAGGCTCGACCTCGTATTACAGCTGTAAGGCGCTCCGCTACCGAGAGGAATGACGAGTGCTCGACTTCGCAGAATAGCTGATGCTCTGAGTCTTCTATGCCTGCAGGCGGATCACCAACTTTTGGAGGATCTCATTCGCATGACCATCAGCAAGAACGAATTTCGCCGCAAGATGGAGAAGGCGTTTCCGGTGGGTCACAAGGCCTCTCGCTTCAGCTTGGCGCCTCGTCGGCCAGCTCGGACGCCAGCTCATCGGCTATGCTGTCCCTGTGTTCTTAGAACCCTCAATCGCCATTTTGGAAATTGGTAGGGGTAAGCGTCTCTTTCTTTTGAGCTCTTCAACGAACGCGCCGCTCATCAAATACTCATCCCTACCTACTGCGTCAATGCGCTACAATTTCAGACCGTATCTGCGTGGGATGAAGAGCAACTCGCCATAATATGCGAAGAAAGCTGTAGAGACGGATTCATCCAATCTGGAAAGCGCCGCAGACTTCAGCGTCCCAAGGGTGCTATCACTGTCGCTCATGGCAAGGTAATGGTGAGGTCCTTGATCCGCGGCCTGCCCTCAGACTGCTTGCCTAAATTTCGCTCCATCCTTCACTCACCTCCGCAGAGAGCATTGACCGACTTCGCAAGGCTGACGGACATACAGCAAGCGTATACGTACCAGGACCTCCGAGTGGCTCAAGAGAAACTGGAGGCCGACCTCGCCGAGTTGGACAACCACGAGGATGCTCTGCGCGCCGACTTGAACCTCTTCCAGCTGCGTGACATGCTTGATCGGTACGAACGCAATTTCTTGCTCAGGGTGCAGAACACGTCTTGCTGGTTCGATGCGAAGTGTTGCCACGAACAGGCTCGCATGCGCTATGAGGCTCTCGCGGCAAAGCGTAGTCGGATCTCGTTCTTCGGGCAGTCAGCCCTGGAGGAGCAGATCAAGCTCGCTGATCAGCAAGCAAAGATTGCAAAAGCTGCTCTTGACCGCTTCGTGGTCGACGTAGACGTTGGAACCAGCGACGATGGGTGGCTCTTCCAGCCGCACGCGGAGAGGTCAGTCCCGCTTCCTCCGTGGACTTGTACTATCGTTGTTGACACTGTCTCGGATGCCTCCGCTCCTGCTCGCAGCTAGCTCCTCGATCAGGCTCCCATGACAAAGCTTCTCGATGTTTTAAGTGACTTCTTCAACCGCCGATGTTGTAGGGGAGAGATTGCTCAATGGCTAGTCAGGTCCACACTAATCAAGCTCAGCGCAGGAATGTTCCGCTGTCAACAGGCAAGCGCTAAGAAACCCCATTTCGGAAGGGGACGATGGCAGGAGTCAAGAACGACGTGCATAGGCGATCCAGAGTAGCACGCAAGCAGATGCTGTGTATCAGCCTCCAGACAAGTGAATAGGCCGGGACCGCGAATCCTCTTTATCGTCTGATCTCAACAATTTGAGACGTTGTACTCATGCTGCAGGTCCCTACGCACCTCTTCCCTCTCACATTTCGAATCTGAAGATCCTCTTCCCCTCACCTCTCTGCTACCCTTCACAAATTTTGGTTCTTTCTCCGCCCTTTACAAGTCTCCTACGCACACCCTCAGCATGACATACGTGCAACGAATCACCTATGTGTCTTGTAATCCTCCAACTTCGCGTGCTTTTTTTGCCTCGCTCGCAGCTTCCCTTGAGAGTGCCGCCCATGTGCGGATGAGGCATGAAGGGTGTTGACTGTCCTGCAGATATGTGGCGCGACGAGTGTCGCTGGAAAGCGTCACGCTTCCTGTCCTCCCGAGAATCTGTTTAGAGTCTCACCCGCTGTCATGTGTCCATCCTACGCAAAGTGTCGTTCAGACTACCCTACCTCACATTTCGGCCGGCGTTGCGATTGACTGGAATAGTGGTGACCCCCATCTACAGATCTTTCGAGGCAGGGTAAACGTCTGAATGATTGCCTCAATTTTGTTCATTGACAGGAAATTTTCAGAGCTGAGCGGCCCCAAACGATCGTGGCGCTGTGGTAACAGCAAGCATACTTCCCACGATATCAATCTATGCGACGACGAATAACGAAGACCATAAGGTTGTAATACTCACGATGTCGATCGAGAATGAAGCTGGAGACTGCCTATGAGAAGTCGTTCTGAAGAAGATGCTGACACATGAGCATGGGCAGCCAGGAAGCTTCGAAGAGGGGCGGGAGCTATTCTCGGAAAGCTCATGCTGCAGATGCTTTCTTGAAGTCGGGTCTGTTCCCACTGGTCTGCAAGATGGAAGATTCTATGTATGACGATGCGCCATGCGGATGTACGCGACACAAAGTCGAAGTCTGAAGGTGGCCAAATGGGCAAAAGGGAATTTGCGCGATTGCGAAAAAATGAGGGCGTACGGCAAGGCGCATCGAGCGTGACGCTGCGCTCGATGCGGTGTCTGCGAGGAAGAGAGGTGGGTGCCAAGTGGAGATAGAGACAAAAGGGCTTGCCAGACGCGATGGACGATCATGATTCAGTCTGTGACTGACTGCTGACAGCCCTTCGTGTCGTTTCAGTACCTTTTTGCGGCATCGGGCATGCGCAGAGTGACGCAGCGACCACTTACCGCTTCCTTGATTTTTCGAACTCATGTGAGTGCCGGAACGCGATAGTAATCCACAGAAGCCGTCGGAGGCGCCTTTTAGCATGAATTTTCCCGCACCGCTCCAATTCCAACTTCATCCTTAAAGCGCTTAAAAGAGCGGCATAGTCCCCTCCATTGAACATGAGGCTCTTCAAATAATGATCCGCCTCTTCCAAGCTATGTACGTCCAAACACGACTGTGCAGCGGGCAGCAGGCGCGGAAGCAAGTCGCGGCACCTCTTCTGGATTAAAGGATCGGCCTCGATGCGACTGCGACTGCGAGCGTGACGGGGAGGACTGAGCTTGGTTGCGGTTGCCCAGTTCTGAATGAACCAAGCCTGCCTTGCCACCGATAGGGAAGCGGTTGCCCAGACTTGAGGGGAAAGATATGCTTTTGACGATCTGAAAGTATTGTTGAAGCAGGCTGCACGTTTGAGCGGAGGCAAACAAGCAATCTTCCGCCATGTGGTACTCACGACTGCGACGAATTCTGTTTTGAAAGGCGAACCAAGCAAAAATACGATCGACTTGATGCTGCGACGTGAAATTCACGAAGATCGGACTTCAGAGCTGTCAGACTCAAACATCATTTCACTCACCTCATAAAGCTCTAGCTCCGTACGGAAGTGCTTGTTTATTCCCAGGTTTTGTATGACCCAATCGAGAAGCAAGACGTCATCCTGCGTCCGGTAGTGTGCGATAGTCAGCTTGCATTGGACTGATCTAGCGCGAAAGCGAGAAAGACGGAAGGGCTCACGCGAGACACGTTATGCGTCGGATAGAAATCCTAAAGTAATAGGTGCGGGTGTCGAGGAGCGCCGCAGTGTCATCATGGAAAGCCACGTCGAGGATGTGAGAGGCGAGGTCGGAAGGAGGGGCGCGGTATGCGAGAAGGGCGTGCGTCACATTAAACACAGCGTGAACAGTCCCGCGAGAGATATTTGACTTGGTCTAGTGTGATGCTGTGCTGAAATATAACTCACCTTTGCAGTTTGGGTGAAGACGAAGGTCAATGCGTCCTAGGTTGAAGTACAGCAGGATGAGTATGAGGTCTCAGCGCGCATGTTCGACACGTGAACGCCCGGGTATGACAGCCTGCTCTTGCGCTGCAGCAGATGTGATTGATGGCACGCTGACAATCGTTCGTTGTTCGGTCTCGTTTTCTGTTTCAGCTCGCTACTCACAGGAGCAGATTGCACACTCTTGCGAAAGACTGGACGTGTCAATTGTAGCGAGGCAGCCTTCAGCGTGCTCTCGAAAATTTTCTGGCCTTCAGAACTATTCTTGATTGTTTCTATCAGGCTGAGGATCCGTGTGCGCCACACCGGATTCAAGTCTTCGAGCCACTTGGAGTTCTCGTGATACTCCTGATCGTTTGCATTCGAAAAGAGCAGTATCAGACGCGTATACCGAGGGACACGATCAATCCATCAGGGTCGACACACCCTCAATGCCGCTTGCAAGGAGCGCATCTTTAGAAACGACTCGCCACCGTGGTCCCGCAAGATGCGTATAGTCTGCTCCATACGAGAAGTCGCGGAGCAGATAGTCAGCTTAAAGACCTCCTCAGCTACCGTTGTGCAGGTACTCACTGCCGAAGCTGTCAAGAGCCGGCGAACGCCAGCACTCATGGTATCGGAAGCTACTGTGTCATCGCCTGGGTGCTGGCGGCTCCGAATACGGAGACCGACCACCACTGACAGTAGCTGCGGACACGCAAGTGGGGGTAAGCAACTTTGGTTTGTGAACATATAGGAAGCGAGATGATGCTGAAGAGCCAGGATGAGCAGGGGTTCGCCTGGCTCGTACAGACTTGCGCATCCTCAAGTCTTTGCTTGGTGCTGAAACCTGATTCTATCTTATTCTACCTAGTACTGAGCTCGAACTCACGCTGATGAAGAGAAGCGTGATGACGAACATTGCCAAGCCAATCGATGTCGTAGCGTCACGTGGTGCTTTGCTTGCCTTGTTCGCGAAGTCTTGTTCTTGCGCTAGACTGATTGCGCTAGACTCAAGACAAGTGGTCCGTGCTCCTACCACCCTCGACTAACGATCGCATGGGGTCAGATAGGTGGTCCGACATGTGAGAGTCTAGACGCAAAGTCGCTGGCCTTTGGTGCAGTCGCTTAGCCGCGCGTGTAGACGCGGCCACCTAGAGGCAAGTCTGTATGCGTGATGGTGGATACGCAGGCAGCTTCATACTCTCAGCTCCGTCAAGAATGCAAGGTCTTGAAACACGAAGGCGGTGGATGGATGTGAGATCCAGCTGATACGAGCTCGCGATGCTGCAAGAGGTCGTGAGTCGTATGCTACGAAGCTTCATTGGGCAGTGCTTGTTCGCCGCGCATGCCTGCCACATGATAGACCACACAGCAGCTTGAAGAGACGAGGGGAGCTCAAGGATAGACGCCGCGAGCATGCGGACGCTCTGATTGCGGCCAAGGAAGCGCAACATCAGGAATTCAGGAGCCACGCGCGCGTTGACGCTCACAGTCAAGAGTCAAAATCAAGCATCTTCACGAATTTGAATCTCTGAGTTTAGGTTTTCTCCCAACTCATTTCAAATCAAATCGCGTGGCTGCATCGATTGCCCTTATCGTACGGGAAAATCCCGCTTACAATCCGCGCGCACGGGCCTCACGTGTGGCTGTGCAAAAAGTGCTAGCTTCTGCTGCCGCATGCATGGTCTGCAGGAAATGAAATGACGCGAAAGGTGGGTACGCGGCCAGCTCCTGACCTCTTTCGCCTGCTGTTCAAGGTCGTCTCCTGACCACACACATCAAGCCCCTGACCCAAATGACGGCAACGTATTGCATCAGCATCGAATCGATTCACATTCACTGTTCGCTCATGACAGGCAGTTTCTTCTTTGACAATCAAGGCTCCTCGAGCTACTGTCATCCACTGGAGCGAGAATTGCATTCGGCTGCCCCGCCCGGGCCTATTTCCCGCTGCACTCCTCATTGGGCCCTTCAGTCAGTAGTCGCAGTAGCCATCAGCCTACCTCATCGGATCCTGCCAATGCCTCTGAATGGGCACGCAAGGAAGCTCTCAGCCAGGCCATTGATCAACGCGTCAACCGCTCAGGACGCCATGGCACCATTCGTCTCGCCATGCACTCATCCCATTCTGCTCTTGATCCCGATGGTCAAGCTGTCCGATTGCGAGGGAACCGGAGCTTTGGATCAGCATGCTACAGGCCTGCAAGCCGATAGCAGAACGCAGGCGTTCCATGCAGTCGTTAGACTGGCCACAAGACAAACGAAGGTGCCTTACACCGCGTGAGTGCCGGTCGTGCGAGGCCGCCTTATAACTCGCGTTGGAAAGCATGCTGCACGCGCACAGCATGAGGTCTGGAAACATGAGCCAGCCCTGGGACTCAGAAGTCGGGACTGGTGCCAGCGCCAGTATCGATGAGGAGACAGACAGCCTCTCCCCCAAACTCACTGTCGTCTGGAGCGTCTATACTCGGTGATCACTGTACTCAGCGGAGTTGTAAGTCACATTGACAATCATATGGAAGCGTATTACCTTGGTGCTAACGGGACATGCAGCTTACTACGTCCTCGGCGCGCCGTGTAGCGCCTCTGCGGCGTTAGCACCTTCCTCTTCACCGCCAACCTGTGAACAGTCGGCATCATGGCGTCCAGTGGACCTTTGTCACCAACCAACAATGTCCAGTCGGACACGTCTCGCGAGTCGACTCTCTGTCCAGTGCTGATGGTCATGTGCCAAGGGTGGCTGTCTCCAGCAAGCCCACCGCGCATCCATCTATACGCGAGAGAACCGCAATGTTAGTGACACTCCCATCTTTGTCTGCAGTGCAAAAGCTTGCATGTAAGGAGGCTCGATGACCCCTAGCATGCAACTCGTCAAGCCCCGGGGTCATTCTTGCCACACCGCGCTCAACGCTTCTTCCCTTGGGCAGCTGCGCCCCGCGAAACCTCATCTCGACCATCGGTGGCACCTTCCAACCCTCGACTCGTAGTTGCAATGCCGCTTTCAATCTCCACCATACGTCTCAACGTCGGCAACACGAAGCATATCCATTTTTCGCGCCACATCAACAACCCACATGCGGCGGTTCTCGTGGTCCAATGTTTATCGACGGCACAGCGTCGAGCCTGGACCAACTCGAGAGGATCGAACGCAGGTCAATGCTTCGTGATCCCGTGCTCGCCGTGATCACCATGTCGAGCCGGTTCTCTTCAAGGCAAGCAGAGGATACCTGTTTCCCCGCCTTCGCTGTCTCGCCATAGACCCATGGATTCGTAATGTCTGATACGCACACAATTGATAACATCGAAGGACTGATACATTAATGCATTGCTTGCGAATTCTGCTGATGAGGTGTCCAGCGAGACGGGGTTGCGACACGGAGGGTTCCTGTCAACATCGAACGTAGAAGACACAGATGCGGCGACCATAACGTTTGGCCTCTTTTTGTTTCCGTCTCACTTCCAGCAGTAGCTCAGCTACGGCGACGCTTGCGTGCACGTCCAGGAGAGCTGTCCGGCAGCTCCACGAGCTCGTATTTCTCCTCCTCGAGCTCGAACTCTCCATCAGCATCCTCTTCCACCATCACAAATTCGTCCAAGAGAGCCTCTGCCTTGTCGAGCTTGTGCCAGCCTACTCCACGAAGCCAGCTGCGAATACAAGCATCGTTCGCGTTCCCCGTCTTCTTCAGGCTCTCTATGCTCTTTACCTTTTCCAGCAGCATCTTTGTTTCCTGCACAGAGAGCTCTGCTGCAAGGTATGAGCAGGTAGCGAGCACATCATGCTCTGATATGATGGCATTGACATCCATAAAACCATCTTCCAGCTCCTTAGCAAGTGTCCCAATGGTTTGGCAGCTCTTCATGGTTTCGTGGAGATACAGAACCTTGCTAGAAGGATCCATCTTTTGCCAGACCTTGATGGCGTTCTGAGGACACGAGGACATCCAGAGATCAGTGACAAGAACATTAAGCTGGCTCAGTTCGCGACTCACCTTTATGTGCTCCAGAGCTGCTTCAAGGTCGGCGGTGTAAGACCCAGCGCTCGAATCAAGCTGGACGATGTTTGGGCCAAGAGCACTGTGACCGTCAACCAGATGCCAGAATGCGTCGTCGGCGATCAGGTCTTTGACGCCCCGGTGCTTAGCGGGGTCGGATTTGACAGCTTCGATGAGACCCTTGACGAAAGTGACGTTCACTTTGAAGACCAGCTTGGTCAGACCATCCTGACACGAGAGACGAGACGGTCAGTGATGTGGTCCTCCGAGTCGATGCAACGTACCACTCTCACCTTTGAAACGATCTGGCATCGTGGCCGCGGTTAAAAAGGATGGATGTGATGAGACGAATGGATGAAGGGTGAGAGTGCTCAGTGACTGATCGATCTTTGATGTCAAGAGCTTCTCTCGAAGCAAACTCGACGACATTGATCAGGGCTCAAGGCACTGACAAGGCTGCTTGACAGTGAGGAGGATAACACACTCAACACGCCGAAGCATCCAGGCATTGCTGACGTTGAGTAGCGCCCTAGCACCTGCCTCCGGTGCATTTTCCGCGGGAGAGGTCTTAGGGTACGACACTAGCTCTACAGCGTACATCATTTCAGACGACGATCGCAAGCAGACTTGCCAGTGCTTGACACCAAACGGTGCCGATGAGCCCATCAGGGTACTTCGAGAAGTACACTCACCGACATTTTGAAGAAAGGGAGGGACCAGCCAAAAGACAAAGACCACGAGCGAGAGAGTCCTCGAAATGCCGGGGTACGGAGGAAGGCTGAGCCGTGAATCGATGGAACGAGTGCCGAAAAGACGAAGAGACGGAGCGAAAGATGGACCGAAGTCAAACGAGTGACGGAGAGCCAAAGACGGAGGAGAAGAGGGCTGACACGGCGAGTCCTGTGCGAGAAGAGATCCAAGAACGCGAAACGAGGTGATGGAAAGGACGGTGAATGTGGATGGAAAGGTACGAGCCATCTTGAACGCGCCCTCCGCTCCCGCGACGTGACCCGCTCTTGCGCGCGTAGCCTTCACTGCCTATATACTCGCGCGCGCATGCAAGATGCGGTCTTGCCGTTGAGCTCGGAATGCGAAACTTAAACTTACACTGAGCTTCTCATCAGTCTTGGAGTCACGAAATTAGGAGTTTGTATCAACGGTCGACAAGACTCATCAAAAGTGCTTATTGTTGATTCAACAATCACAATGCGCAGCGTGCTTATTGCTGATTCAACAATCACAATGCGCAGCAGTCATGAGTCAAGAGTCAGAGTCTGGAGTCTTCTGTCGGCCACACCTTACTTACTGCTGATTATTGATTAAGCAAAATCGAGAGGCGGCATTTGATGCAACTTCAAGGCATAGAAGCAGTTTGCACGAACCCATACATCAGTGGCTGCGCAACCTAATCTTTAATGCAGAATTTGATTTTGGAATCGGATCAAAAGTATTCAGCTTCGTCTACGCGCGCGAGATCGCTCGCATCTTAAGTCGACTCTTGATACCAGTGCGCGAGCTCTTTCTCCGAAGAACGACTGGCTCTTCACTCACGACTCCTCTGCAATTCACGACATCACAATGACAGCAGCGCCAGCGCATGCACAGGGGCCCTAAAAAGCTTATAGGTCGACAAGAGAGCTCAAAGCGGATTTGCAACCAGGTCATGTCAGCAGATATAGTGCGCTGATCGTCAGACTCGAGCAGCTTCTGCAGTTCGCGACCAACCATAGCAGTGCCTCTAGGGTCTCCTCGCCTCGCATCAGGATGAGACTACGTGGACCCAAGACTTCTACCTGCCGGAAGGAAAGCAAAGCCCAGCTTCCCAAGCGAGGCACAAACGTAGAACTCAACTCAGGCATCAGATGCTACATAGAAGTCATTACCCACGACCTCCCACTCGACTCAATACACTCGTATGCTATCAATGGAGAAGGGCGTTCCAGAAGACAATAGATCTTACGCCACCTGTGTGCAAAGCATCGGGCTAAGTGACCGGCTTCGAGGTCAGCTGAAGAAGGGTCAGCACCTGCATCAATTGCTTGCTCCGAGTCGGAACTCCCTTCGGCACCGTGTCCAGTCTATGTCAAGCAGGACACCTGCCATAGTCAGTGAGTGTTCGGTGCTCGCCAGCGGCACATCCCATGAACTCTCTCACAACGAGCAGGGTTGCTGTTCGGCTTAACACCTTTGACGAACGCCAGCTTGAGCAGGCCCCGTCGAAGCGGCACTCGGCGACAGAGTTCGACGTACAGGTGGAGGCCTATGTCTCTGATCAGCCATTAGCAGCTCCAACTTAACCTTCGCTTCCCGGACTTGGAGGCTCCGCGTGATACCTCTTCACTGCATACTCGCACCACGCCTCTCCCTCAGGAAAGATTGCAAGTCATGACCGAGTGGATCTCGCCACATCCCTCGCGCCTCAGTGTTGTCTTTGGAACATCTCGAGGGTCAAACAAAGGCAAATGCCATCGTACTTGCAACTGTTCTCTGGGTATCGACCACCTCTTCAACATTTGCACATCTCTTGTAGCAAGCCGCCGGAAGCAATCAGCGGTCAGCGGGCTCACGCTGCTACACGGCCTCGACGCTACCTTCACAGCAGCGCTCATATGCACGCGCAGCTGCAAGTCTACCTCGTCCGAGAGCAGGGGGAAGGTGCATCTGCACAAAAGAGGCACGCGAGACTGTCTACTGCCGGGCTTGACTTTTGGGTTTCGAGCTTGGGTGTGCAGGTTCCCAGGCCCGCTGGCACTCTAGGGTGAGATCGACGGCAGGAATCAGCGCGGGTGTAAGAAGCCAAGCCTTCCGGAACCTTCAACGTCTTGGTGAGTATTCCAGAGCGTCGGCATCTCAGACCAAGTACACAACGCTCCGACTCTTTCGAATCTTTGCCCGGGAGCCAAACGCGCCCATCGCGACTTGCAGGGTGCCCCGTCAGCACAGGGACCCTCTCGCTCGCCGCTACCATTTGGCCGTCAAACCTTTTTTTAGACAATCACTTTCGAGGAGCTGGGACATATGCTGTCTAGAGTAATAGAACGCTGCCGTAAGTACGCGTCGCTTGCGTCCGAGATCATACACCATCATCGACCTTCCAGACCATCTATCAACGCTGTCAGACGCGTAGCGCAGTCGGCTGCCGCTAACGCTGCCGTCATACATCACGCTCCTCCGCGCTCGCGCTCCCTGCAGCTCCGACGTGCATCAATCGGCTCGATGCAGCGCAAGCGGAACCAGAGAGACTAAGACATGCGGAGCTCACTGTCTATCACGAGTGTTCTCACGGCATCTGAGATAGCCACAGGCTAGGCGGTCCCGCTCGTGACAGGATTTTGCCACGCGCTATGCTCGTGAAAGGCTAAATATTCTGAAGCGAGGCCGCGGTGGCACGCTGGACAGCGGACAACGGACCCAGAGCTAGCAGAAGACCGAGGGCTACCTGACAAGGGACAATGGCATGTGCTTGTAAATTCTGGTTCATACACTGCATTGACTATGTTGATGTGTGGGCATTAGGCATCGAGGAATCGAATACCCTGAAATCTCAGCAACCCTGTTCATGACAACGACTCTTCTGCACCTGCGTGTGAGCAACCCTTATATTGACTGTTCTGAACTGGACATGATGGAATCATCGCCTGTGCATGGACTCGTCCACGAGTGAGGCTGATCAATGAGAGGCACGAAGCAGGTGTCACACCTGCCTGACGGTACGACGGCTTGCCGCATGCCGACTCTGCAACAGACGCCGCGTTGCGCGGTGGCCAGTGCACAGTGCTCAAGTTGCGCGCCCACGCCCGTATGCCTCGCAGCGTGGCCGTTCAGCGCGCGTGCCCAATTCGAAGTTCCATCCATCCATCCACTACCTCGCTCGAGACGTCTGCCATCATCCCTGTCCGTTCGGTGTTCTGGATTGCGAGGTCTCTCTCAACGCTTGACGCGCCCATCGCTCTTGAGCACTCCCTTCACAAGCACTCAGCGCCCGTGCAGGATATCAGCGCTCTCACGGACTCGTCGATCACTTTGTTTCTCAGCACCCTCGCCCTCACATGCAACCAGCCTTCCAAGATGTCCGTGAGTGCAAATGTGCTCGAGGTTCACTGGTTCGTGTTGGATGGATCGCTCGTGCGCGTTGCAAATCTCCAAAGATCTGGACAAAGGAATGGAAGACTGGTGCGTTTTGCTTCCCTTGGAGCAAAAATTGGTTGTGGTCGTGCTGGATGGATCGCTCGTAAGCGTTGCATATCCCCAAAGACCTGAATAAAGGAATGAAAGGCTGGTGCGTCTTACTTCGCTTGCGAGAGAGGGTCCGTACGTCGGATGTATCGCGCATGGGCTGGACGTCATCCGTGCTCTATCTGCCTGCTTGCAGATGTTGCACATCCCCAAAAGTCTCGCTTGACGACGCATATATCCACGACCATCTTTGCGCCATCCTGTCGTACCCACGAATGCGCGCCGCAATCGCGGGCACACCTGGACTTGGTCAGCAAATCGCTGACCGCCTCTGTTTATGTCCTCCTTCTCCCTTCCTCTCCACGCAGTGACTTGACAAATGAGGCGTGAGAAGCTATCTGTGGGGCTGAAAATACGTGCTGACGTCCACCGCTAGTCTTCTCAATCTTGCCTGCGCAAGTCGCGCACGCTCTCACATGAATGCTGTACTCTGCGAACTTTCTGCCGCCGTCATATTCATTTTCTTCTTCCTTCGCCTTCTCTGGCCCAACCCAGGTAGCGCGCTCCTTGACCCAGACCTGGGCGTAGTCTCTGTTGGTGCTTCTCCTGGACCTTGCGAGGCTGTTTCAAAGCCTTCACGGCGCAATAGCACCCGATCCGAAGTTGCACTGATCTCGAGGGTGAGCTTCAGCCAACGTGCTCTGCAGCTCGTCAAGTGCAGCTTCGTGGGCACCTCTGTCTTCGGCGGCACAGATCTTCGCCTGTGTCTTAGTGTCGATGCGCGAGGTACAGTAGTGTGCCACCCTGCAGCTGTCTTACAAGCCACAAATGCCCGGATCTGCGCTTTGCAAGGTCTTGGTGCTGATAGAGATAGTAACAGTGCTGATGCACGTTGTGACTGCGGGCAAGAAGACCCTGCAGGAGGACGGTCGGAAGCAGCGTAAGTGGAATGAGTGTGGTACGCGTTTGAGCGGTTGGACGGACAGACGGACTAGTCGAAGGTTCCAGATCATAGCTGCGCTTTCTTTCTATGATACTCGGCCGTGTGAGCCGTCTGAGAAGATCCTTCATTCCTGCCTGGGATGACGTTGTTCTTTTGGCCCGGAGCACAGGGCTATCGGAGCGCGAGAGACCCAATGTGAAGGCGTTGGAGCTGGCCGACCCATCCAACGTGTGAGCCAGCTGATGAAAGCTCGGAACGAAGCATTGTAGAGCGTGTCAATTGCGCCGAGTAGAAGGTGAGGAGCATTCCGGAAGGATGCGTGGACGGTGTCATGGGCGAGTAGGCCCTAGATCAGAGCGGGCGGTGGGCATATGCTACTCGATAAGGGCAGTAAAAATGCTTCAGCTGTTGTCTGCGACTCAGCTGCTTCAGTGCTGTTACCAGGACCTTTGTACTCTGCTCGCCTTCATTGCTCGCCAATTCAGGGCTTCTTTCCGGCGTGGAGGGCCATGGTCACCACTTTGCCCTGCTCATCTTGAGCGAATGCATGAGACGTTGATGAATATGTAGACAGCAACCGTGGGTGGTAATACTTCGCTGCAAGCCTGTGACGTTGAGCATAGGTGTTCAGTCTCCACTTGCCAGTGTCGTATCCTGCGCCCTGAATCCGATCTTCTGGACACCTTGTTCAGTTCTTTGGCTGCTGATAACCGAGTTGTTGGAGCAATGATGCCGTCGAAGTGTGCTGTCAGGCGGTAATGACGAGGACGAGGTGAGCGACACTGGACCTCCCTAGTATGGGCACGCCGCTCTGACTTACCTCGACTCACGTCCTGAAGCATGCAGGCTTCCGAGCATGACGCAGTATTTGACGAGCGCAGCACCCAGGAGGCCTGGTAGCTCGCGAATGATGGACATATTGGCTCTGCTGGAGGCCCGCACGCTGCCGATGAACGCGAGGCATTTAGTGTCGAGTCTCAAAGTTGCTGTCGTCAAATACTGACAGAAGCCTGGCCGGTGGGGTAGTAAGCCGTTGCTTGATTCGTCCGTGGGTGCCGAAGGACGCCATTTGTCAACACTGAGCTGAATGTGTGGCGACTGAACGACTGGCAGTTGAGTCGCTAGTACGTTGCGTGTGTGGTACTTTGACTGAGCCTTCTGGAGAGGCCGTGGCGCAAGCTGTCGTGCGCAAACGGCAGACATGTGGCGAGAAAGCGAGCCGGGCGCGGAGATTGACGTCGAGGTGGTGAAGGGTTTGCACTGTAGAGGGCTTCTGAGGGCCAAATTCTATGGGCAGAGAGCGTTCTAGATTTGCAAGGCTAGCGACTCAGGCGCGAAGCTGAACTTTCCTCGTGAGTGTTGAGTGTAGCCATATTCATTACCCAGAGTTCGCCGCAAGAACATCAGAGGCGGGCAAGCGATGTGGTCAAAGGTAGGGCCCAGAGTATGCTCAAATGTGCAGGGAAGAAATGGCACACTTGCGCGGTAGACGAGGTGTTCAGGGTTGTGCAAAGAGCCGTGAGGATCCTTGAAAGGTCCCTGTCTCTGATATCAGGTCAGTCCGATGAGCGAGCGAACTCATGGGTCGAACTCCACACGGCCTCCTTCGCCTTGAAAAGTAGACACAGCATCAGAATTTGGCAATCACGAATATTGAATCTGAATCTTGGTCGTCTCAATCCTCGATCGGTACAGCTTTTGACTGGCTCATGGGCTTGGGACTACCCGAGTCAATTGGAACCGAACTTTGATTCTTGACTCTTGCATTCAAATTGAGAATCTCGAATGTTCAATGAGATTTCAATTCAATATTATATGTAGAGTGATTTGATTCTCCATCGAAGCTTCCGATTTCGCCCTTCACGTGACTGATCGTGAGCCTTGAAGTTGACGAGTCGTGGAGTGGTGAGTGCATGGGCTATACGCGCGCGCGTGTCCGGCGCGTGTCAAACCCGTGTGATCCATCCACTTGACTTTACACTTCTGTCCATCACTCTTGACTCACGATTCACGTTCTACGTTTCATGTCTCACGTCTCACGTCTAACGCTTCACGCTTCTCGCTTCACGCTTCACGACTCAGGACTCAGCGATTCAAGTTTCACGACGCTCATCTCCCGTTCCAGCCGGACCCTTGCTTCTCAAAGATATCATCGATCTTTTCTCACTCCAATCGCTCGTCTTCTCCCAGCTTTGTCATCATGGTGAGTAATGGCAAATTGCTCGAGGTTCATTGGCCACCTTCCTGTTGGTGTGTACACCACATGCTATAAGCTCTCTCAGACTTCGATCGAAGCTCGCTTGAGCGGGATTGCTGCTCCGCACTGCCTCCTAGTCCCTGAAGACCTCCCAACCCCACGCGAAAATGCACCGGGAGGCCAGTGTGCCGAGGGAGGCGTGCACCGTGCAAGCATCCAGGGTGTAGCGTGACTTTCGAGTCTGTATCCTCACCCGTGTCCAGGTCTGCGCTTCATCGAAAGCTTGATCTTGCTTTTGTGTACTGTCAGGCATCGCCGTCTCGTCTTGGCTCATCATAAGGGGGTCAGCAAATCGCTGACCCGCCTCAACCTACTGCTCCTACTCCTACTTCGAGGTTCGCAGCGCTACAGGTTCTAACAAGGATGTTCAGGTATAGTGAATCGTGCGCGCTTGCAAGACAGACCACTTTTAACCGCATCTGCGCTTGCAACCAAGACCAGATCCAAACACGTCGGTATTTGCAGGTACGGCAATGCATCGTGAAGCGTAAAATGCGGAAAGATGCCGTGGCATGAGATTGGGGTTGTGCAGAGGTAGACAATGTTGCGAGTGCTATGCTGTGCTTTGGCTGGAGGCTCGATCGACGTCGCGCGTCAGAGTGTGGAATTGACACGAAACCTCAAGGTATGCAAAAGGGAAACCGACGGAAGGCAACGAGGCTAAAGGATTCAAGAAGTCTATTGCAACACGGACCAGAGTTGACCGACGCTGCTGACGTTAATGTAGCAAGTATGCCAGAGATGAATGACGCTTCAATTGTGAATGCGACGTCTGACGTCATTGATGTAAGCTGAAAGGCGAGGCAGATAGCAAGTTGAGCCAGGAGCCCTGAGGTTGGCAAGTTGTGCCGCTGACTCGCTCGCTCACCCCTCAAATCCTCGTTGGATTTCGAAGCATGGACACTTGGCGTGGACCCCACGCTGCGGGACAACTTGTCCGCGTGGACACTGGATGCGGCCGTGCTGGTGACATTCGTCGTACTAGTGCTATCGGCAGTCGTGAGTGTTCACAGGAGGGGCTGCTAAAGGGCGCGCTTGTCTCGCACATCATCTATGCGTTGTTGTCAGTCAAGTGCTTGAACGAAGCTCTCGAGGTGATTGCGCTCGAAGGTGCTGCCGAGCTGGAGCTCAGAGCCTTGTCGAGTAGACTTTTTGCACGCTGACTTGATAGCGCTGGCGTGTCGTGCGCTGTGCGAAGAGAGCAACGTCAATCAGAACGTCGTGTACTCGGTTGCCGATTTTCCAAGTGCTCCTCTGCAACGCGAAGCTGGTGCAAGTCGCAAGCTTCGCGGACGCAGAGTCCCGAGATTCTCAACAAACTCTGTGCATCACTTAGCAAACTGCTCCATGATTGCTTCCTGATGCGTTTCGGCTGCTTCTCAATGGACTGGCCAAAGGCAAGTTCTTGAGGCCCAGGATCGGGAAGCGCATTGCTCAACGTCTAGATCGAACAACGTCAAGTCATGCGTGTGACAGCAAGGTGAAGACATGGCCTCATACCTCAGATGAGCGACCCATGGCCAACAGCGCAAGCACGTATTCAGCACTCACCGTTCCAGCGGTCTGACACAGCAGCAGGCCCGAGTCGCTTATTGAGCGCTTCGTGATTTTAAAGATACGATATGTGCGTGCTCTTCGCGCCGTCGCGACGTTAAGACCAGACGTCGTCGCGCGTGATCGTTGGCCGTTCCGGCTCACGTCTTAGCACCAGTCGAACTTCAAAGTGGCATGGTGCTGTTTCTGACGGCAGAGTCGTCTCCACGCATGCAGGGCATCGAGCATATTCTCACGCAAACAATACTCATTGAATTTGGACAAACGTGAACTTGAACCACCAATAGGTCTGGAACCGAGCTGAAGGACTCACGACTTGACTGGGTGCAGGTAACACGGCGACGCTATCCATACTGAGCTCGCGCAGTTCGATGAGCCTGTTGATCCTCAGGTCAGCCAAGAGCTTTGAAGACGTGCAAGCGCAATTCAGAGCCATGCGCGTGAAGCGTGGGTGTTGATGCTGCTTGCATGTGCCTCACGGTGGCATTTCTCCAGCCTTGGCATGCACGATCTAGGGTGCCTATACCGCCGGAAGCACATGATGCGTGTGGAGCGCATCGTCGAAGATCACGCATGCTGCTTTGATATCCGTTGACAGCCCATTGCGCGCGTCGGCGCCATTACACAACACGGCCAGCAGCAACGCTCGGACGCTGGTGATTCTTGACCGCTTGGAATTTGGACGTGCACACGTACTTTTGTAGAAGGCGTGAGGTGTGAGCACTTCGGAACTCTCGGGGCGCCCGTGTGACACAGACCTTGTGCCGCATGCCGCGCACAGGTAGGTTGTCCAGGCAGCATGATGTCGAAGCGGTGTCGGCCGTTGAGCAGCGTTGAAAGTTGCGCGCAAGGAGCGATTAGATCATGACCTTTGCTGGTGTGCCAGAGATGTCGCTGCCGAACGTAGCGTGCAGGTAGTGGCGTGCGTTGGAACCGCTAAGCTCAGCGTCGGTAGTTGTGACAAGCGCACACGTCCGGCTGTCACACCCAAGCATGCTCTGGATAAGAGCAAGCTTAGTAGTCGGATATTCTCCAACACCAGGCTGCCCGACTTGTCTACTTCATCCCCACATCTTCACATCCCCACATCTCTTCATCCCTTCATCCCTTCACTCCGTCATCCCTTCGTCCCTCCATTCCTTCATCTCCTACCCATCGCCGCTCTCAGATCGACCATTCCAATCACCATCCACGGGCCTAGACTTCACAAGAACAATCAACCAACACATCCGAACCGACCTCGTCGCCAATAACCGACTTACTTTGCAAAACATTCAGCTTCTCGACACCCCGACCACGTTCATCAGCATCATGTCGGTGAGTAGCATTTGTAAAAGTAGTGTCGTTCTTCTCGAGTGGAGGTGGTTGGCAAGTGAGAAGGATGCGGCGAACAGATTCCCGGGCCTGGCTTGTCCACTCTGTGCCTCGATAGGCAGACTAGTCGCCGTGGTGGGCTCGCTTGCGCGCTGTGCTTTGATGTCGCTATGAAGCATGCGAAGTTCCTCGCCACTCCTCATCAAGTTCATGGATGGGTGGCCACTGTTCGGTGCCGCTTCCGAAGAGCTCGTAGCGAAGCGTCAACGGTAGCCTCTCCATCTAAAGGGACGTCCCGCAATCGCTGGCGCGACTACGACACTGGTCAGCAATCCGCTGACTGTCTCACCCAAAATTGCCTCTGCATCGCCTTCTCCGGACATCCACCCTCTCCCGTTGGCATTGGCAGAGCTCTAACGAGGACGTAAGTTCACAAACGCCGATGTGTAGTTGAAGTGAGCGACGTTGAGCCGTCAGACAGCGACTGACCAGACGCTCTTCGTGCGCCCACTTTAATTTCCTCCACATGCCTCATCATCGTTTTGAATGGTCACTGATCCCTCCGACACCCACATCGGACGCTGCACGCTTCCAACGACTTTTCAACGCCGTCCATATGCGCCTGGCCTTTTCGTGGCTGAATCGACTGATGCCGTACGATGTTTGCTTCTCCTGGGTGCTACGTGCAGACGAGTCCTCTGTCTATCGATGTGAGTCCCTTGCGCCATTACACTAGCCATTCGTAGTGGCTTACTGACGCGTGCTGGGCGCCGCACCTTGGCTCTTGCAGGAAGAGTTGAAGATGGTTCGCACGGTGGTCGACCTAGTCAAAACCAACAAGAGGATCCGCGACGATGCTGAAAAGGAGATGCCTGTACGTCCTTGTCTAGGCGCTGCTCCGCCTGTGCTTGCTATCGAAAGCTAAGAAGCCTTTACTGATGCAACTTCGCTCATCGTAGGACAAAGGATCGGCCTTCTGGAAGCTGGTCGCGGTCAGTAATGGTGGCGCTGTTTGCCTCACCCTTCAATATTGCTGACCTGCTTTGATGTATTGACGTCCGTAGGCTGACGAGGACAGCAAGCAAGGAGCTGAGGTCCTTCGCAAGTTTGGTCTCACGCATGTTCGCGCTCTCGCAAATGTCGCGTCGAGCATGATGGGAATCCCGAGCCGCGTGCTCAGCAACTTCGAGGCTGCGACGCACAAAGCACAGGTGAGATGAAGCATGCAGAGCAAGCATCGATGTTTGCTGAGTTTGCTGCTGTTCATTTCCTCGCCAGAGCTTCGAGCGTCACCTGAACACGATGTCCGAGATAGACATCATCACCCACTACGCCAAGCTGAGCGCCTTGAACAATGCAACCCTCGACACCTGTGCCAGGATTGGACAGAGGCTGGATCTCGTGCACAATCAGTTCTGGTCGCGCATTTCGGCTGCCACGGAGAAGAATCAGCTCTGGGCGAGCCTTTCGGCTGCCGCAGAGAAGCTCGTTGCAGTCCGCGAGGTCGACGCCGCTGAAGCCCGCTTTCGCGCCCTTGCTGCCGCAAAAGACACCTCGCGCGCCACCATCAAGGAGGCCTGGCTCGCCCTTGAGAAAGCCGAGAGCACTCGCGACCTTCTTGTGCCTGTTTCGTCGTCGTCGTCGTCGTCATCGAAACGCGAAGGTGAGTGGTGACGTAGTCTGACTGGAGGTCCGTGCAGTCTCTGACTCGACTTGTTTGACCATCAGCTGAGGACGACGAGTCGGAGCGTCATGCCAAGCGTCGCTCTACCGACGAGTCTGCTGAAAGTCAAGAGTGAATTGTTGGTTATCCAGCTCTCACGACCCACGACTTGTCCGCCTGTGTATCCTCGACTTCTTAGATAGGATGCGCTATCACCAGTCGACCCATCAACCTACACGTACCATTCTTTGCCTCTCATCTGTCACCTTTTGCCAAAGTCCGTCTCCCATTGGACGTACTAGTCTTGGCAGCATTGCACGATCACCCTCCCCCCCCC